TATATATATAGCTCAAAGATGTGGAAGTTTTATTCCACTCTAGAAGTATAGGCAGACATCTGTGGAGCACTCTGTATTTCTACCCACCGGAGGTCTGAAGAGGGTTGGTGAAGAATGTCTTCAGGCGACCAGCAAGCCATTCCATGCTTTCGTGAAGATTGGCCAGAGCTTTCAGGTCACTGACATCACGCAGGATCTCATTCTGAGGGATTAATTTGTCTCCCAGGTTTCCGGTCAGCACTTCAGACTCCTTAGCAAAAGCAGCTCTGTAAAGTGGAATGGATAAATCACAGGAGACGACGTGTGGTTAGAATGGATGACGACTTGGTAAAGAGAAATACCTGTAAAATAACTCAAATGCAAGGATTAAAAATTAAAAACAAAAAAGAAACATATTTGCAAAAAATAGCTCACTTTATTTGTGGAAATGTCCCAAAAATTGTCCTTTTTTTTAGTTGAACAATTAAAAAAAAGATTGGTTTGTAAAAATGTGAGACACTAACAGAAACGTTTTATAAAAAAGTTAAATGTGATAAACTGTTGAATGGAATGCAAGTATATTACTCACGCAAAATGTATAATAATCTCATGTTTATGAGCTCAGGGATGTGGGGTTGAAATATGGCTGTGACCTTTAAAGTGAAGCACAGGGATGGAAAGCAGGAAGGTTACAGCCTGCTAACCTGATGGATACGCAGATAGATTAGGTTGAGCAGGCGAGGGACAAAACAACTAAATAATGATAGAAATACATCTTAAGATGAAGAAGTTGTTACTAGTTCAAATGGAAACTTGTAAATAGTTAAAAAGTAAGCAAAAAAATTAAACAAAACAGCAACAATAAAGACACATTTTATGTATGAGGGTTTGTGGTGGTGGAAGGATATTTGAAAACAAAAAAGACAGATGGGGCTGGATGAGGAAGTTGCATAACTATAGCAACAACACCATGGTACCACAAACTTTAAGGCATATGGACTGGCCTCCAGAGTCATCAGGACGCTCACAAAAGTCAAGATCTATTGAACAACAGATGGATTAAAAAAAAGAAAAGAAAGAAAAACGCTTTACACTTAGACATGTGAATCTTATTAACAAGGTTTTATTAAAGCAATGTGTGGAGAGTCATGCAGAAGTTAATCCCTCGTTTCACAGTGATGAAAACATCTATGGCTCTCAAATCAAACGGACTTATGGTCTCGCTTTTGCTATCTCCGCGCCCTCTGCATGTGTGTGTGTGTGCGTGCGTGTGTGTGTGTGTGTGTGTGTGTGTGTGTGTCTAAAAAAAAGCAAGCATGAGTGAGGAGAAACAGAGTGCATACAACAGATTGACTTTCTTTGGCCACATAACCAATTTATTTATTTACTTTATCATTCTGCTTCAATGGGCTTCAGTGTTCCCTGAAGAGTGGTGCACATTCAAAGGCAATTCTGATAAGACCGAATCCTTCTCTTCTGTCTGCTCTTATATTGGTTTTTTTATTCTGTTTTCCCTCATTTTCTCACTTCCTGCAGATAAAGTGTGTTTTTAAAGAGCAATCATTACTTCTTTTATTGGATACTTATAAGAAAAAAGTAGGAACAAAAATATGTGAACAGTAAACAAAAACAGGAAGGAGGGATGATGTGACTGACAACTGAAATGTGGCTGTAAGTTTGTGCGTATGTGTGTTATTGTCCCTCATTTATTCGAGTATTCACTTTTTACTAATAAAAAAACTAATATGCATATGTATGTGCACCCAACTGTGTTTTGCACATACCTTGTAAAGTCCTCTTCATCTTCCCTCTTCTGTCTTGTCTGCCTGGGTTGGGCCATGTTTGCCCAGTTGGGGAGGGACTGGAGCAAACGACTGATGTCCTCATCCTTAGACCAGGAAGCACTGATCGTAAGCTTTTCCTCACACTGGACAATTCCCCTGAGGACCCACAGACATAAAATCAAACAGTCTCAAATTAGGGAACACTTAACACTCACAGTTTGTATATTGTTGTATTTTATAAGTAACTGCATGAGAACTACTTTGCAAGTTCAGATAAAAACTGAACAATAACATAGACTGGTGGCGTTGTTCAAGTTATATTATGGCAAAAACATGGTTTGCAAATATTTCTGTGTATAAGTACAGACAAACAAAAGGGAATCATTGTAGGTGGGTGAGGTTCTGTCTTGCTCAAATGTACATAATGTAATAAAACAAACATACAGGTACATACTGTATGCAATATATATATATATATATATATATA